GGTGTGGGTGGGGTGTGGGTGTGGGTGGGGTGTGGGTGGGTGTGGGTGGGGTGTGGGTGGGTGTGGGGGTGGACGTGGTGTGGGTGTGGAGTGTGTGTGTGGAGTGTGGGTGTGGGTTCTGGATGCGTGCCATTGCTCTCTTAACTTATGCTCACACCCACACCCACACCCACCCACTCTCACCAAGGTGGAAACCATCGAAATTATTGGATTCTATAGAAATCAACAAAAGTAGTCAAATATTTAATCAACTTCTATATAAATTATCAAAAGAAATGCACTTCGAAATTTTTGATGCTAATCTTCAACATCAACATATGCATCAAGATGGCTTACATCCATCCATAATATCTGGCCGTAATCTGATCGAAAGAGCAATACATAATTGGTTTTTTAAACAAGAAAGAATACATTCATGATCCATACAATTAAATAATCGTTTGATCAAGCCCATGTCTAATATAAATATAAATACTAATCAGCTTAATCACAATTATCAGCATACTACTAATACCAATACCAATAATAATACTCATCATCATCACCATCATCCTACTACTACTACTATTACTACTAATACTAACAATAATCATTATCATCATATTAATCATATTATTAATAATAATAATAATAATCATCATCATCATGATCGACATCGTACTACTACTACTACTACTAATAATAATAATAAAAATAATCGTCAATATAATAAATACAATAAAATGAAACAAACAAGTACACATTATACACAAGAACAAAATAATAATAGAACAACAGAATATAAGAACCAACACACATCGAAAGATAAATTACATTACTTACCAGGTAGGTCACTCATTCCATATTATCCACATTTTTTGAGACATAAGCAACAATTTTTTCGAAAAATTATAATACCAATAGAATTAGAAAATAAAAAAGAAGATATTTACCATTTGAGTAACATACACTATCAAACAGAATATTTTAAGTTAGAATCTGAAAAATGGAAAGTTTATATGATTGTAGCAAATGAAAAAAAAAACAAATTGAGCAAATGGATACCATAATGGAAATTAATGAAAGTTTACCAGTAGCTAGACCATCACCAACAGGTCTGGCAAGACCACCAGCATCATTAGATATAACTGAATTCGCTGAGCTTTTTGATGAATGGTTACCAGAACCGACACCAGGTCAAAAACGAAAATTAGGACATCGACGAGATGATCCACCAACACCGCCATCTCCACGACAACCTCCACCAATCATTCCTAGAAAGACATTACCACCAAGAAATCCTAATATACCACTAGTTGGAGGTTCTGTTCAGACATCTCCAATTTCAATAGATATAGAAAATAAAAGTAGTCATAAACAACAACATTCTTTCAATGTACTTTTACCTCTTGGACAAAAAAATCAAAAAGAACAACAAAAAATACAAACACCAAATGTAAGTGTATTACCGGAAAATGAACCATCAATGATAATATCAC